AGCGGGTTCCTGGTGTGAGCACCCTCGCTGCTGTGCCCTCCGTGCATGCAGCCTCGTGGACAAGCGGCTGCTTCACAAAACCCACCCGTGTCCGACACAAAGCACTGCCCTGGTGCTACCTCCTGTGCCGGCCGGTGGCTGCTGTGCTGGGAAGGGGGAGCCTGAAAGCGAAGCATCCCGTCCCATCTCCCCCCGATGCACTGAGGAAGTAGGGCACGGTTTTTGTCGTGCGGTTTTGCCCCCTCCCCTCCCAATTTTGGGAAGGTCACAGCTGGCTATTCAGCGGGCTGGTGGATTAATTGGTGGGATACAAATAGCTGACCCGTCCTGGCCCCACCTGCCCCTTCAAAGTCCTGTGTGAGATTATGGGAAATGAATGCCGCTGGCTCTTGTTCCCCTCCTGCCAGGGCGCTTCTCCCTGCCCCTTTCCCAGAGCCCTGTGGCTCTCCCCGCTGAGGTTATTCTCTCCGCTGAGGTTATCCCTTCCTGCCTTGTGCCCCCACTGAGCAGGCTGTGGCTATGGGGTGGTGTGGGGCAGGCGGACCCGTGTGGGGCTGTGCAGGCTGAGCCCACCGGTCGTCAGGTGGCAGAGAGCAGGAGCAACTCACCGTGCTGCGAAGAGTTTAATTATCGATGCAAAAGGCGTTGTGGCGGGGAGGGGGGAAGAGCCTTGCTGTGAATCTTGGGAGGCCTTTGAAGTTGTGATGGAGAGGAACTGAAGCCCAAGGGAACGGGGCTGCTCCCACTGACCCTTCCTCCCCACGCCTGCGCTACAAAGCCTGCCGCCTGGGAGGGAGACGGTGGAGTAATTAGAGTGAGGGCTGGAGCGGGTTAACTATTAGCGAGGGAGCTCAGAGCCCTCTTTGGTCCCCCACTGATCTGTGGAGGCTGAGCCCCCAGCGTGCCACCCCCTCCCTGTGCCCTGATCCCTCTGCGCACCCCCAGGCAGGCTGCGGGTCTCAGCCTCCGCTCAGCAGCAGCTCCCCCAGCGCAGCTCTTGCACTGGGACTGCTGGGTGTACTGGGACATAACGCGTCCCTGCAGGAACTGTGGTCACCAGCCCAAACGCTGAGAAGGATTTCCGAGTGCTCCCTCTTTAAGCAGCACAAGAGATGCAAAACGACCGAGGCAAAATGCACGTTCCCTGGGTGCTGGTCTCTGCCTCGGCTTCCTCGCTCATCTCAAGCGGTGGTTAGAATTTGGAAGATATGAATATTGATATAAATATGGATGCAGATATGTATGTAAATGAAGATGACGGTATAAATAAATATATATACACATACACATACATATACACGTATCTACTCTTTGACTCCTACATAATTTGCATGTGTGGGGTTGTAACGTGCATTAATCACACAACATTACATGGCACAACTTTTCCAAGGAGCAAGTAGGGCTCCCTTGCATGAGGCTCCAGCTCCGGAGTCCAGTTTGCACTGGGGAAGCAACCTGCTTGCTCCTTAGGTGCTTCCATTTGAACGGGCAATCAGGCTTGACAGCTATTCCATCAGTGCGAGAATTCCCCCTGACACCTCCTGGTGTTTTGGCTCAATACGGCGAGTCAAAGCCAAGGCACAGAATAGTGAAAATCAAAATGGTGCTCAGGAAAAAAAAATGGAGCTTGCAGTTTGAGACTGATACGTGCAGACAGTCCATAACATCAAACAGAATTACCCAGCTGTAGGATAGAGGTCTCCCAAACCGGCACATTTTCTGAGAAATATTTAGTCTGAAAGGAGTCCTTTGTGGCGATCTTGCTTGTGCTCCTGCACCAAGGGTGAGCTGCTTCTGCACGCAGGGAAGCGACACAAGCCGGGACGTCACCTGCTGGGTGCTGGTTGTGGCTCTTGTTGCTTGCAGGGCAGCGGGTTCCCTTTAGCAGGTCAGCCTCCTGGGGCAACCTGGAGTGTGTGCCGTCCGGGCTCCTATGGGAAGGCAAAAGTGCCATGTTTATTTGGGTCTGGGGCCTTTCCCTGAATGGCCGGTTGGGATTTGGGAAGGAATCCACATGGGGAGCTGCTAAGGGCTTGCTTCTCTGCCGAGAATGCCTCTGCCAACTGAGCAAGCCATTCCCCTGGCACAAGCTCTGTAGTTTGGGCTGGAGCTCAGCGCCAGGAGGACCATGGCACAGCTCCCTGTGGTGCTCCGGGCAGGGACCACTCTTCAAGTGTCAAAAGCAGTGTGCTGCGTTCCTGCTGTCATTATGTGTGAGCTGTGGCATGTGGCAGCGACATGCTTGTCTAAGAGTTCACTTGCTCTTGTACCAGGGGAGTATTGACCTCCCCGTATCTGAGCATGGCATGCGACAGTGATGCTAGGCGGTTCTTGATGTGCACAGATACGTTTGCTTTACAGTAACTTAATGCAAGAGCTCCAGGACAGGGAGTCCCTTTGTATTTGTGCAATGCCCACTGCAGTGGGCTTAATGTGTAGGACTCCTGTGCACTTGGCTGAACCACTTCCCAAGGAATAAAAGCAGTATTTATTTTATCCCTCTTCTGCAAAGAGGCACGAGTAATCCACTCCACAGGAGCATGGCAGGGACTGCGTGCCCGTGTAGCTGTTTTTGCATCGAAGCACCTGCAAGGAGGCAGCTCCTTCCTGTGTGTGAGGCTGGGTGACAGCCAAACGACCCACGCTATGGGACGGGGTGCTGCTAACCAGCTCCAGAAGCAGCAGCAGGCAAGCCGGGTCTGCGTGGCTCTGTCCCAGAGCCTCAGGGCTCGCTAGCACCCACGCACCGAGGAGCCTGGCGAGCATCCCTCCACAGCGGTGTGCTCTCCTGCTTGTGCAGGCTCCTGGCACTGCCTGGAGATCCCATTCTGCGGTGAGGCTCAGCCGTGCCTACCTCTGTGTGTCACAGCGTGGGAAAGGGGGTGCAGAGACCCCAGCGGGGAGCGGGGCTGCAAATGTGGCCAGCCCGCTGAGGGTCGCCGGCACCGTGCTCCGGCGCTGCGAGCGGGGAAACTCCGCGGCCCAGGCTCCCGCTGGGCGAATTACCCAGGGAAAATAGGCAGAAAATCTTCAGATTAACAATAACAAATAAAAATGGATTTGAGATCTCCGAGGTAATTACGCCGTGCTGAGGGCAAGGGGCCTCTCTAGCAGTTGGAGCAGCGCCTTGCAGCGAGCGGAGGGGCTCGGCCTGCTGTTGGGCCAATGAAGTCACACAAGAAACCCTGGAAATTCTTTCAAATTGTTCTGCTAACATTAATAAATGCCTCAAAAGCTCCTAATCTGCTCTGTCAGGAGCATGACGTCCGGGTGTTTCACAGCCAGCTCACGTCCCTGCTTCTTTCTCCCCCCTTTCCTTCCCTGCCTGGTAATAGTAAATGAAAGTGGCACCCGTTCCTCCAGCTGCTGGGGCCCGCTTCACACGGAGCTGGGGCTGGAGCTGCTGCCCCGATGTGCCCTGTCCCCCCACGACAGGCTGCCGAGACCACATTCCTTCCAGAGCCTGTGGTGCAGCTGAGCCATGGCCTGGCAGCCCCACCGAATGCCCTCAGGATGGCTGGAGGGACAGCCAGGAGGGACATGGCGCCCAGGCTGGGCCTGGCCTTGCTGGGTGGCTGCAGGGCAGGGAGCTCTGGGGAAGCTGGAGGCACTGGTGGGCTCTGGAGCTGGTGGAGCTGGTGCTGGGGAAGGGACGGCAAGGCTCAGCTGTGATCTGTACCCGCTGCACTCACTTTCAGGGGCTGGGGCACCTCGCTAGCACCCGCTCCTGAGCCTCTGCCCCCTCCAGGTCTGCAGCCCAGAGCTGGGGCCTTGTCTCCTTCACCAAGAGCTAAGCAAGGCCGTGGGTCTTGGAAGCACCCTGCATGGAACCAGAGAGTGGTTTGGGTTGGAAGGGACCTTAAAGAACTTCTCAGTCCAAGAGAGATCACCAGATCTCTCCAGGGACTGCCCGAGTTCCTCTCCAGGGACTGTAGGCCCCCTGTATAAGGCCACTATAAGGTTTCTCCAGAGCCTTCTCTTCTCCAGGCTGAACATCTCCACCTCTCTCAGCCTCTCCTCATAGGAGAGTTGCTCCAGCCCTCTGGTCATCTTTACGGCCCTCCTCTGGACCAGGTCTGACCAGGTGTATGAAGGGGCTGGAGCAGGCTCAGGGTGTTACAAGGCGGTGATGAAGTTTCCTTTGCCTGATACTGGAGAACCTGGGTGTGGGGCTCACGGGTGGCAGACAGAGCAGATGGCATTCAGGGGCAGCACACCCCATGCATGCAGCCAAGCCGTGGTGCCCCACTGTCCTCCCCCTGCCGACACCACATGGGTCTCAGTGGGAAGCTCCTGAACATGCTCAAAGTCATCCTTGAGTGTTCCCCTGCTGAAACCATTTCCCTCGCCTCGTGTCTCCTCGTTACGCTGGGCTCCTGGTGGCAGCAGGGCTTTTGAAGGGGTGGCTTTGATGGGCCTCCTCACGCAGTCCTTCCCCCGTGGTCCCCAGTGCAGTGTCAGCCGGGATTGCAGGGGGGGTCCCTTTGTGCCGGAGGCAGGCACTGTGTGTGCAATTACAATGACTGCTGAAGCAAAAAACTTCAAACGAGTTCTGCCAGGAGGGAAATGAGACGAAAGAGCTCAGCAGAGCCACCAGTGGAGCAGTGTCACAATGAGAAAGGATGGCCCAGTTGTGTGGGCACTGGCCAAGGGTGGACCTGGTAGACAACCTGATTCTTGTCTTTTGTTTCTCCAGCTCCTCTCTGCTCTACAACCCCTTTAACTTGTTGTTTGCAGCCCCTTCTTCTCCAAAAGGGCACACCACTTCGTCGTACTGCTGGTACAGGTACAGCCCCAGCCCAGCAGCTCTGGGAATACCATTTGCTGATGAGCTGCAGCCAAGCAGGTCCCTGCCAGTAATGAGAAGGTGTCTCAGCCTCACAATGTGTGCAAGGCACAATTGGGGTGCAAGGACTGGCACGTTGTGGAGGTTTGGTTCCTTGCTTTAGGGGGTGGAGTGCAAGCTTTCTAATGCAGTGTTTTGTTCCTGTGTTTTCCAGTGAACTTGCTGGACACGTCAACGATCCCAGGGGACTGGGGCTGGCTGACTTATCCCTCACACGGGGTAAGTACGAAGTGACTGTTGGCATGTGGGGGACAATAGGAGGATGGGTGACCGCTGGCAGGGTGGACGGACCAGGTTGCCACCTGACCCTGAGCTCTAAGGGATTTTCTGCCCCTAGGAAACTCCAGAGTTGGGTTGCTCAGTGAGCAGTCACACTGAGAAGCCTCCTGTTCCTTGCTGTACTGGGGAAGCACCAGGAGGAACAGCCCAAAATGAAGGGGAAGCTCTGAACATGCAGCTGATTTCTCATTGAGAATGGAGATGTAAAGGCACAGCCCCATGGCATGGCCAGGAGGAATGCTGAGCCAGTCACTCCATCCTAGGTGAAGCCAGCCTGCCATCTATTCTGGCTGGATCCTCCCCACACGTTCCCTTCGCTTGCATTTCCATGGCCAGGTTTTCTACAGCAGCTTTCTTCAAATTGTAAATGTGAGTTTCGGGTGGAAGTGGCGTGGCTGTAAGGATTTTTATTTTTTTTTTCTCATTGATTTAGTGAACAGAAGAAATTCCATAAATACACACAGGACCAACTGCAAGGCATAGCGTGGCTTACTGCATACACAAAATGTGCGAAGTCGGGGTGCCTTCCTAGCTTTTGCTGTTGCGTTGATTTTTCACATCCACTCTTTTTCATCCGCTCTCTGAACTAAATGGTGCTAATCTTTTCAATTCCGCCTCCTACAGAAATCTTCCCAGGCTTCTAATCATTTTCATTGATCTGTTGCTTGAGACTTTCAGTCCTTGTGCTGTCTGTTTGAGGAGGAGTGATCAGAACTGTGAGTTCATAATAATAACAATGATGAGATTTATATCAGACATTATCATATATGTAAATAAATTAAATCATTAACTCCGCTCTAATTTTAGCAGTTAGCTGTTGCAATTATGACTGTCTTGGAAACATAATAGATTCATAGATCTAGGGTCAGAGGGGACCACGGAGCTAACGTGATGTAATCTCCTGCATAAATACAGGCCTTCACACGTCAGTTAGCTCACATTTGAGAAAAGCCTAGCTTTTAGAAAATTTGTCCTTGATTCCAAATTGCCAGCGGTGGTAAATCCTCCACACCCCATAGTGAGTCCTTCCAACACGTTAAAAGGTCGCTGTTAAAAACCCACCGCTGTGGGGATTTGCTCAGCTTTGGTTGCCAGCCCCCGAATCCTGCTCTGCCTTCGCTTGGGTGGTGGAGCTGTTGTTCTCTGGGCCATCACACACAGGCTGGCATTGGCAAGGAATTTGCCTGAGCTGGCTGGCATAGGTCTCCTGGGGATGTGTGGGCACATGGGAGTGTGTAACCGTAGGGTGCTGGGGCTGGCTTGCAGGGCAGTTGCTGCTATGCTGCTCACTCGCACTGCAGCAGATGCCCAGCAGCCCTTTAACAGCAAGTCCCGAATGCTAACTCATATCTGAAGTCAGCATTTTGGTGATGTTTATTACCAACTGATAATACTGGATGCAAAAAAAAAAAAAAATAAATAAATAAATAGTCTTGTATAGTGCCTAAGCTTTTCTCTCCCATGGAATGCTGCAGTAAAAAACACCAGTCTTAAACCACCTCTTGGCCATCTTGTGGTTTTGTGTCCTCCTAAAGGTGAGCCATGGGGTAACTCCACTCTTCACTTACCCTGTGCTTTTGCCCAATTCATGACCTTTTTGTGGAGACGATGAGCACACAGGTATGTGAAAACTGACCTGAACACCTTCTAGGAGTGTGCCTGGGTTTTGATTCTTGCACGAACAACTTTGGGTATTTTTTCCAGCTGGATGTTTTAATGGCTTCTCTGAACATTTGTCTGGCCCGGTTCTTTCTCCATGGGCCATTGCACTGCATCATCTTGAAAGAACATCTCATTCTTTTACCCTCCTGCTGGTCCTTCAGCTCCAGATGCTTTTTGGGTAGTAAATTCGCAGTTGGAACCAGCTGCCATCACCACAGAAGGAGGCAGGATGGTTTACTGCTGTGGGGCACCCACTGCCAGTGCCAATGATTTGTCTGCATCCTGAGGTGCCCTTGCAGCAGGGTTTGGGTTCAGGGGAGAGAGGCTGGGTGATTCAGGCTTGGTAGCTTGGTACCACCTGGGTCCAAGCCTGGCCTGATCTCTGCTCTGGGAAAGGGCCTGAGTTTGCTTGTCAGCACCTCAGGAGCAGCCCAGACTCACCTCTGGTGTCCCTGGGACTGTCCCCTGCCCACTGCGGTGTCCCGCACCTCTGGCAGCCCTGGGCTGAGCCCAGCTGCTGGTCTGGTGTTGAGATGGTGAACTGCGAAGCCACATTTTGCTTGGGGTCCCTTCTTTTTGCTGTCACGTCCTTAATTCAGTTACTCCTGCTGGAAAAGAGGTGGCAGTGCTCCCCCAGTGCTACCCTTCCTTGCTGGCTCTCCTGCTTGAGCTGGGTGCTTGAGTGTGCAGATCTCCTCGGGTTTTGGGATTTCCCTGCAGTGTCTCTGCTCTGTCCAGGGACAGAGAGACACCTGTCACAGCAACCTCCCACTAATGGGTGGTATTGCTGGCTGAAGGCAAACTTGAGTTTGCTTTACGCACTTCTTTCTCCTGCTCTGTGAGCCATGTCACCACAGGGGTGGCAGTGGGGAGGTGAGTAACTCTGCCTGGGGGTTTGCTTGGCACTGAACAGCACAGATCACAGAATCACAGAATCACAGCATAGATCCCCAGTCCCACTCCTGAGGGGCTTAAGGAGAGGTCCTGTGACAGCTAGCTCTATCCTTAATGTTTTACAGCTTGCTTTCCTGGCACCTGCAGGTCCTGCCATGCTTTTCTGGGGTTCCTGGGTATGTCAGGAGAGGTTTCCTCTTCTGGACACAGAGATCCTGGTGCACAGCCAGGGCGTGGTCCAAAGCATCAGAAGTGTGTAACTGGAAATGTGCTGCAGTTAAACTTCACAATGACAGCTGGTGAAGCCCCAATGTGTTCATCACATGTGTGGGCAAGGTGAACCTACCTTACAGGAAGGATTTTCCTCTCTGGTTGGCTGTGGCCAGCAGAGGCAGAAGAGCAGGGGGCTCGTAGCGCTGGGCACAGCTGAGGGTCAGCAGCGCTGCTGGCCCTGGGGAGTGTCAAGCCATCAGGGAGGCATGCACGGCCTGTTTTGACATTTCCTCTTGCCAGTTAATTGACTGAGGGGTAATTGGCTGTAATAGCTGCTCAGAGGTTTAATTGCGTCCCCCCTCACCTCTATGCCAAGACACGTGCAGTGAGCGGAAGGGTCACGGGGAGCATCCCCATCCTGCAGGCTGCGGCTCCTCTCAATTATGACTTCAAAGGGCTCCCAGGAGCTTTGCAGCCCACTCCGTCCCCAGAACAATTCCCTTTGCATTGAAAATCAGACTCTTATCGCTGCTGTCAAAGAGGCTGCCTCCGTCCCTTCTGTGCCTCTGCTTTGCCAGCTCTCTCCAGCAAAATGCCCCAGTGCCCCAGTGCCCTTCTTTCCCCTCTCCTTGCTTGGCACGTGACCCGCTGGATCAGAGGGAGCCTGATCGGCCCCTTTGCAAATTGCTTTTCTACTGACTAATTAAAATGCTGATGAGATAAGTCAACATATTATTAATAATTATTGTATCGTCTACTTTGATTTACAAAGTCAAACAGGAAATGATTTTGCTCAGACACAGGATATCTAAGGAGCTTGAATGATGCCTTGCAAAAGCTAATTATAGTGGAAGCACCTTGAGTGCCAGAGAAAGCCCCCCATACAGCCCTGACTTCCCTGCCACCCCTTCCAGCACCCCCACAGCCTTTACTTAAATAACCAGCTGGGAGCACAGACAGCACATTTCTGCCTGTAGGATGGTCTCTCAGCAGTGTTTGCACATCATGGATGGGGATTTCATGCTGATGTAAGGCATTGCTCTGAACTCCTGGGACTGAACTGTTTGCAAACTGTATGCAGAAGGGGATGTTTCTGAGGGTGAGGCCTTGGTCTGTCTGCTAAAATGTCCAGGAAGAGAGCCTGACTCTGGTCCTGCAGCCAACAGCTAGCGTGTGGCTTTGACAGACAAGGTGTGACTGCCAGCTCTGTCACAGTGCTTGGAGCAGGGCGTCCCATTGCTCTGAGCTCACCTTGCTCACCAAGGCTTCAGTCCGAGCTGTGCTGTGTACATGCTATTTAGATCCCCATCCAGTGTCCTGGCTGCCTCCTAGGAGCACCAAAAGGCTCTCCGATCTGCCTGGGACTAAATCTTCTGTCCTCTGTCCCTTTGGTGTCCTTGCATCATTTCCATGGGTTTCTTTTCCAATCCAGAGCCTCTCTTCCCGGTGGAATACCATCACGCTATAGCTGCGGCAAACCACATTTTCTTTAAAAAAGAAATGGGTAAGAATGGAACATTGGGAAATAAAGATTTAAACAAGTAATTGAGATAAAAGCTCATCTCCTGGTGCTTGTTCAGTAAATGTTGTGTTATTGTTAATTCCCCAGACGTTGGTCACTACCAGGAGTTAATCACCTGCAGTGAAGCTTAGGGTAGTTAGCTGCCAAACAAATCCCTCCTTAGCCATAGCAGTGAGTGATTTCATGGGATTATCTCCATTAACACCCCCCGTCTAATGATTTATAGCTGCAATAATGTCCTTCTCTTTTTTCTCTCCCTGTGACAGTAGTGCAAGGGACTCAGCAGCTCCCAGGGAATGCCACAGTTCAGTGCTTGCTCTTGGGACAAAGGGATATCCTGCTGGCAGCTTTGCAATGTCAGGAAGACTCTGTGTCCCTCCCGAAAGCTGTCCCAAGGCCCTGGAAGCTTCAACCCTTGTCTTTTTCTGGATGAGGAGTGGGCACAGCTGGGGTGGCAAGAGGCCGAGCTCCTTCTCCCAGGGGATGCAGCCCCTCCTTGCATGCTTGTACCCCTCTGCTTCTCCTCCTCCTCCCCACTCCGCTGCACTGTAAAGGCCCTGGGAGACTTCTAAGACCTTGCTCAGCCACCCAGATATCTGGTGTTTGCATCTTTTGCCTTTCATAATCTGGTATTTTTTTTTAAACATGCGTTGTCTTTAATTTAAACTATTAGGCAGGCCCCTGAATACAGATGTAGTCGTACCCCCCCCGCCCCCCAGCACACACACACACGCGTGTGCTCGCCACGTTAATTATGATGTCCTCATTTCCGTCTCGCTAGGGGATCTTATCGCAGTGATGGGGGCCGGGCTAAGCTTGGTTTAATAAAAGCTGCTTCAAACTGGCAGCCGAGAGCTGGAGGATGCTGGCGGGGTGGGAGGTCGGGAGCACACACAGGGCCCATGGCATCACCAGCACCAGGCTGCTGCAGGCTGATGGAGAACCCTCGGCCTGGGAAGGAGCTCGCTATAAAAGCTGAAGAGGAAACCTCTTCAAGTCATGGGACTCCTGAAGCGGGTCTTTCCATCCCAAATCGCTCTGCCTGCCTGGCAGGTCCTGGCAGAGCTTGTGGGACTGGCGTTGCCTTGCAGCCACATCTGGGCCCATGGCTTCCAGGCCTCCCTCCATGTTTCCACTGGGGGCAGAGCATTGCCACGTAGGCCTGGCCCTTCTCAGGCTGGGATCCCACGGTGCTGTGTATGACCCAAAGCACAAGCTGGCAGTCCAGACAATGCAAAAACAAGCACAACATTTGAAAGAGTGATGCTGCAGATGCAAACTCTCTGAGTTTTCAACCCTGGGGTGGTGCTTGGAGGTGGGCGTTTAGCTCCCTGCTCTCTGCTGGTGGTGAGGAAGGTTCCAGTTCCAGCAGCACCACATGGGACACCATGGTCATGAACACCATGGTCACGAACACCATGGTCACGAACACCATGGTCACGAACACCATCTCCTTGGGCAGATTTGGAATAGATGTGAATGGCTGATGGTGCTGGAGACCCTAAGACAAGGCACCAACCGGGCACCAAGGCATTTCAGTGCACATGGTAACCTCTTCTTACCCCCTTGTCAGGCACTGCTGGAGAGCCACGAGCCCCACTGGTTTTGCTGGTGCAATGTGGGGAGCATCCCCGCTGCTGCTCTCAGCAATGCCTGCGCCCCGTGCGCCTCCTCCCATGTGCGGTTCTGCCTCATTTCCCCGGGGACTCGGTAGGGAAAAGACAGGAAACAGATGCTGTGTTAATTTGTGCTCAATTAATTGTGACAACGATCTCCACACCCTCCGCAGTGCCGCAGCGCATGGCAGGGCTGTGCGAGGGTTGTTGTTCACAGGCACAGCTTGTGCCTCCAGCAGGGCCGAGCAGGTATCCTGGCCCCTTTCCGTGTTGTCTGCCTGTGTGCTGGGGTACAGAACAGGTCCTGGGTGATCTACCAGCCAGGTTGTGCCTGGATGAACTCAGGCATTTCTGAAATTCAGGAGATGAATTTTTTAAAAGAACCAGAAATCCTTTTTTTTTCTCCTGGCAGTGGCTTGACTTTCACATCCTTTGCCAGCGTACTCCCCTCTGAACAAGTTTTTGTTGAGGTCTGCACCTGGTACTGCTGCCTTTTTCAGGCTGCTTTGAGCTCGTTAGGAGTGAGAAGTGGAGTTTTCTCCTAGAGGTGAGATGCTGGGGGAGTTTTGAAGATGTACATCACTGAAACAACTGCTCTGATCACCCCAGCGCTAGCAGAAGTCACCAGAAGGCCTCCTCCATGGGAAGCACAGGTCAAGGGGGTTAAATGAGGAAGGCATTCCCTATATGAGAAGGGAGAAGGAAGAAGTGTCTTACAGATATTTTTGATAAGTCTTTTCAATGCCTCTTGCACTCTGTAGGTGTGAGTCCCCCCTGCCCCCATGTCCCTGCAGTGCTGGTGGCCATGTAGCAAGGCTGTCATGGCAGATCCGCATCCTCACCTGCTCTTGCACACACCAGGGTGAAGTCTTCAGGCTTACCCGCTCTGTGCTGAGGATCAAGCTCCTTAGTTCTTAGCTGCTGCTGATTTTGCATCTGTCATGAGCCTCAGGTCACCGCTTGCATGACAAAACACCATTTTTGCTACAAGCCCAGGGCTTTATTTTAATGTGCTTGCACTGGTGCTTGAAAGATTTGTTTTCCTGATCTGTGCCCTGCTGCTGGAGCTTTGCTTGTTTCCCAGGGTCCAAAAATCTCTGCTCTTTTTTTCATTCTACTTCCTTCTTCTCCCATAAGAAGAATTGAGGGGTCCTGGACTGCTCCATGGGGGATGTGATAGGGTTGCCGGCTTGGGAGAGGGACATGGGCTGAACAGGTAGTGGGAAGCCCCCAGAGAATGGAAGGGCTGTGGGTCCTGGTGAGGGTTTGGTAGGGGTGGAGAGGGAGAACTGTGGGGCAAGAGCAAGCCCCTAGAAGTGTCTGATAGCCCCCAACACCAGCATTGCTCTGAGCCCCATGGACCCCTGTTTCTTGTTGGAAGTCCCGTGTTTGCTGCATGCTTCTCCTTCACCCTTCAGCAGGCACCCCAACCCTCATTCTCCACCAGGAAACCTGTTCATTTTGCTTATTATGCATGGAGATCGCATATCAGAGGAGACCAAGGTGAGCACCACACAGGTACCTTTCTGCTCCTCCTGCAAGCATCGGGTTCCACACCAGGAGAGAGGACTTCAGGCATGGCCTGGAGGACTAGCAGCCCAGATGCCTTCACCAAAACCACATTACTCTCATTTTCTGCCATCAGATCACCCTTGTGCAAGCATTCCTTTCTGCAAACACAGGTGCAATTCACCCAGCTCTGTGTCAGCTTGGGCTCTACATTCATAGTCTATTCATCCTCATTTTCCTTTGGCTTATGATGGCAACGATCTCGTACCCAGATGCATCAACAAGGGCAGAGGGAGTTTGTCAGGGTGGATGATGGCACAGACTCCTGCATGCCCCATACCCACCGGGATTGTGTGGAATGACCTGTTTTCTCTCTGTCTCGCAGTGGGATTCGATCAATGAGATGGATGAGTTTTTCAGCCCTATCCACACCTACCAGGTCTGTAATGTCATGACCCCCAACCAGAACAACTGGCTACGGACCAACTGGGTTCAACGGGACGGTGCGCGGCGGGTCTATGCGGAGATTAAATTCACGCTGCGGGACTGTAACAGCATGCCAGGTGTTTTGGGCACCTGCAAGGAGACTTTCAACCTCTACTACCTGGAGTCTGACCGTGACCTGGGCACCAGCACCCGGGAGAGCCAGTTTTTGAAGATTGACACCATTGCAGCTGATGAGAGCTTCACCAATGTAGACCTGGGTGTGAGGCGCCTGAAGCTGAACACGGAGGTGCGGGGCGTGGGGCCCTTGAGCAAGAGGGGGTTCTACTTGGCCTTCCAGGACATAGGCGCTTGCATCGCCATCGTTTCAGTGCGGGTGTACTACAAGAAGTGCCCGGCGATGGTGAGGAATTTGGCGTCCTTCTCCGAGGCCGTGACTGGGGCAGACTCGTCCTCCTTGGTGGAAGTGCGAGGAGAGTGCGTAGGGCACTCGGAGGAGAGGGACACCCCCAAAATGTACTGCAGTGCAGAAGGAGAATGGTTGGTGCCCATTGGGAAGTGCGTGTGCAGTGCTGGCTACGAGGAGCAGCGGGATGCCTGCATGGGTGAGTCCCAATTCCTGCCAGCAGTGCCTGCAAGGTGAGGGGTGGCTGCGAGGAGCTCTTGGCTTCTTTGGGCAAAGGGCTGAGGGCAGAGGCCCACTTATAAAAAATGTAGACAGCCTCCTTGGGGGCCAAGAGCTGCCCAAGCCTTATCTGGCCTCCTTGGTGCTTATCTAAAGGGTCATGGGTACCACTGGCAAGCTGCTGGGGAGCTCCTGTGAGGCTGGCAGTGACAGTTCTTGGTGCACAGGGCACGGCTTTGGGACAGGGGCTGGCTTTGGGATGGGAGCTGGCTTCGGGACAGGGGCTGCCCTGCCTGCAGGGAGGCATCTTCCCTACCAGAGGTCCCAGCCCTGTGCCCCCAGCAGCTGTGTGCCACGATGAATCCTGGCACACTCCCACGAAGCACACTTCTGGCCTCTTCGAAGTGCACCATTGCTCACCTCCCCCTGGCAGGCAGTTTGGAAGAGAGGAAAGCAAAAAAAGAAAGGCACAAAACTGTGCAAAACAAGGTTATCGCGTCCATCCATCACCCCTCCCCGGGGCTGCCGCACAGCCCTGCTGTCTGGGGGTGCGGGGAGCCTCCCCCGGGGTCCTCCGTGCTGCAGGGCAGGCTGCAGGCTGCCGACTGTACAAACTGTGATAAGGACACGGGGTGACCACAGCAGCCGAGCACCGGGAGCCGCTGCTGGCAAGGGGCTGTGTGTGTACAGAGCTCGGCGTGCGGGGCTCCCAGCGAGAGCCCTCCGCACGGCTTTGTTTGCTCTCGGTTTCTTCATCAGAGGTGTTTAGGGGAGCAGCGCTCTGCCTCTGTAAATAAGAGCGTGGGTCCTTTGTTTGAGCTTCGTGGAAGCGTTAAGCGAAGCGCTTGTCTTAGGGAGGCTTGATGCAAGGTTAGGACGTCCGACGCTGGGCTGGAAGAGATCCAAGTGCTGCTGGGACCAGCGCTGGCTCTGGAGAGTCCCCAGCTATGTCGAGCGGTAAAGATGGGCAGAATAAATGCTTCTATCCAAAATTTCTCCTCTCTGTGACCACTGATTTGAAAGTCATCCCGAAACAGGTCTGATCAGAATATGTCTTCCTCTAGAGTGGGTGTGAAGAGTGTTTAGGACCAGGCACGTGCCAGCATGGAAAGGGCATTAGCATGAGCTGCCTGGATGGCAGGGTCCCAGCTCCACCACTGCAAGGAGCTGTGAGTTGGAATTTTGGTCCCGAAGGACCAAATGTCCTCCGCATGCTCTCCCTCCGGCAGTCCTATACAGCAGACTGCTCCAGGAGATCACCACTCAAAGCCCAGAGGCTGGGAGCAGAGGGAAGCCCCAGGGGCTGCACTGTGCTCGGTCTGCCTCGCTTTTCTGTGTTTCCCAGGACACGATTTTCTGTCTGCTGGAGAGCAGAGCTGTGGGAGGGCTCTTTCTCTGCCCTCCTGCCCTTTTCTGATGGCTGCCATGCTTGTGGGATCGCCCCCGATCCATTTCAGAGGGCCAGGGAGGAAGAGTGGTGCAACCTTCGGTGGTGGTGGATGCGGTGGACACAAGCAGAGGCTGCTCCTTGTACAAAAAAATGCACTCAATGCTCCTGGGTGAAGCACGCCAGGCCTCGTGGAGTCAGAAACAGGACAAAAGTGTCTCCGGCCTTTCCCTGACCTCACCATCATCTCTTCTCCTGCTTTCCCTGTCCCATTCATCCTCAGCAGCTCCTGGCACAGGGAGTGTGATGGGCCAGCATCAGGTGAGCAGGGGCAGAACCTCCTTCCTAGCATCTCCTTTGCTGGGCAGCTCTGGAGCAAGAGTATCGATATATATTTACACATGATAGCAAACAGATGCAAATCTCTGATCCTAGCTTCTCATGCTTGATTGGGGCAGAGTTCATTTTTCATGGTGAAAAGTGCCTTTCTGGTATGATTTATAACCCAAGAGGATCTGGAGGAGTTGGAAATTAGCCGTTTTAATTGTCAGGCGAACAAAAGCAGGATTCCAGTGGCTGTCGTCCCCAGTAATTTTTCATTTTCCGTCACTGGGATGAGATGATATAAATCACTCCTTGTGGCCCTAATAATCTTTCTATAAATATCAAGGAAATTCATTTTTTGCTTGGGGGGAAAAATTAAAGAGTAGATACTTTGCCTTTATGGTAGTGTTTAAAATGTGATTCCAAATTAATTTCCTTTTGCCTTTCACAGCCAGATGCCTTATTTGTCAAAGCTAAAGATGTTTGAACAGTGGAGGTTTCTCCCCCTCCTTTTTAACATTCATTTTTCTAAGGACCTGCCAGAGTGATGGAAGACAGCTCAGGAAACCAGATCATGGCTAGAGCTGTTCGCAGCCCTTTACAGGAGACAGAAGGTTGTGCCACAGAGCTGGGAAGGACAGGGTGAAGATGAGCGTGGTGGAGGATGCACAGGAATCAGCAAACTTCCCTGCCTCTCATCTCCTTTCTCTAGGTTGTCACCTTGGATTGCCCCTTTCTTTGCCTTGGTGTGTGCTGGCTGGGATCTCCGACCCTTTGTATTTACCCAGTTTCCAGCCCAGCCTTTCTTGGGCTCTGCCAGCTCCTCAGACACTTGGCTTCCAGTCCCACGGCATCTCCTGCCATGGCCATCCCAAGGATGAAACCCCTCCAGGTCTCTCTCCCACACACTTGCTTTCCCCCTCCAGTTTCAAGGCTCCAAAAGACTTTGTCCCCCCACCCCTCGTTGTCCACGGGCAGCTCTTTCCTCCTTGAAATGTCTCGGTCCACAGCAAGGCACGGCAGTAGCTCATACACACAGCAAACAGCAACTTCTGTACCTAGGTAGCAGAATAAATAATAGCCTAAGTGAAAAGGGCCTGAGCCATTTACCAGGTAAGAAGACAATTAGAATAATTCACTGTATTTATCCACAGCTGCTGTACAGAGCAAACAGAGACACATCTCAATAAGGTCAGCGCAATCAGTGAAATGAGAAAAGGGAGCAAGCACTTTCACACTGGCTCTGCTACTCTGGGAGGGAAGAAACCCATCTCCTCAAAGTGCTGTGTGGCTGAGAGCCAGGACACACGCACCTCATCCTTTGGATGGATGGGGACGAGGAGAGGAACCCTCAAGAGTCCCAGAGGCAGGTGTGCATCTTTGTGGTATGACCATGGGTTTTGGAGCTGTTCAGACACTTTTATTTAAAATCCGGGTCCAGGCATCTTAGCCTCAGGGTGTCCTGATTGCTCTGACTCCTCGCCCTCTGTGGTGCTCAGAGCCTTCATCTGACTGCTGCCTTTGGCTGGGAAACACTAATGAGGGAGCAACAATTATCATCTGCTGCTCCGTCAGCCCATTTGTACACCAGGACTGCCAGAACTGTGCAGGAGCAGCTACTGAGTGGGGCTCTGATCTTTGTGGCTGAATCAGTCTCTGGTCTTGGGGTAGACTTTATCCAGCTCTGCTTGAGCTGAAAAGATGCAGCCTGTGTGCTCCAGGCAAGGGGATGAGAGGGAGACTGTCACTGCTGGGACTCTGACACCTCCAGTACCCCAACTGAAGAAGAGATGGGGATGCGAGAGGGGCAGTTGTCCCCTCGTGGACAAACCTCTCTGCTGCTGGGATCTTTTCTGCCTCTTGTAGCACATGTCCAGTGGAGATGGATCTAGAGAGTCTTGTTAACAATCTGGAAGCCACTTAAATGTTTCCAGTTGGTGGAATTCATGCTGACGAACCAATCAGCAAATTTAATGTACCTTAAACCTTTCTTGTGGGCAACTTTAATCGAGCAATTAAAGCACCACAGCATTGCTAATGAAGAGGAGAAAATACCCAGCTTGGTGATTGTGTTCTCGTGAATACAGCTTTGTGTCCATGGACTTTTAGGAAGGAAGCCAGCAGGGAGGAGGCATCACCCTGCCCAGCACCCTGCCCAGAGGGCGAGCAGACTCCTTCTCCCTTTCTGACTCAGAGATACGCTGTGTGGCCGAGCCCCAGGCTTCTCTTTGCTTTCTCCAGCAGTGATTTTTTTTTTCCTGCCCATGTAAGAGCACCACACAGCAACCTCCAGCCCCTTCTGTCGTGTCTCTGTGTGAAGCAGCCACCACAGGCTGCTCTGTTGGAAACAGGGCGCTGGTGTTGCTGGGCTGACTCCGAGCAAATCTCTGTTTTCCTGGCTCTGCACTGCATGAGGCCCCCAAAAGTGTGCGTGGGGGTCACGCGTGCCTCTGTCAGTCAACAGAGATCAAACCTGGGATGTCAGGGTGCCCTGTTATCAGGCGGTTTTGCACTGGACCACATATGTACCATACACAGTGGCGAGAGATAAATGCGTGTCAAAAACACCCTGTAACTGCAGCTCCATACAAATATGTTCAAATACGTTTTATGTTTCTTTGAAAGTCAGCAGCAGATTTCAAGGAGACTTTCCCTGCAAGTCCCAGCCCAGGGATGCCAGCTCTGAGCTGCAGGCTCCGTGGCTGTGTTGCTCCTCGCTGATGCCTGCTCAGTCTCCTGTGCCTGCTGGCAGATTATCGGGCTGTTGTACCTGCAGTTAGCTGCACCACTGCCCTGGGTGCCTACCTCAGGGGGCTTCTGCTGTGAGCGATCCAAAATACTCTTTTCAAGCAGGAGCAGTGGCGGTTTTGAAGACATGCTATGAGAGTTATGCAAACAGCCTTTCAGTGATGCCAGGCAGGAAAATCAAAGGAACTTAGTGATTCACAGCGTTTGTATTGTTGGTTTGTAAGCCAGTCAGCTGCTTTGTTAAAAATACAGGCAATGGCATATGGTAAGATTATCACCTTCTGTTTATCCCATGCAAAGACCCATCTATTTAATAAATGCAATAATATATTTTTTTTAAGGTAGCTTGTTTTCCAAACCACTTAAGTAAGGTAGGACTGTTTGGATTCCAGGTATCAGTTTTCATATGGGAACAGACTGCAAAGAAATGTCAGAGCTACAAATTGCTTGCAAGATTTGGGCTGGACATTAGGAAAAACTTCTTCCTCTGGTGGATTATGCCCTAGGACAGGTTACTGGAG